AAAAAGAGTCAGGCTGAAAGAAATCGACTGTAACACACCTGGTTGTTCCAGCAAAGGAAAAAACACTAGAAAACAGAGGAGAAGTTTCAGTCGCAACCTCCAAAGACTACTGACAGTCCTCTACTTGCAGTTGGCCTCTAAACAAGTCAAAAAACTGCCCAGAAAACACTGAGTGCCACCTTCAACTTGAGTTTTAACCCCTAAATCTCAATCAAAAAAGGTTTCTCTGATTCTTCCTTGTCACTAGGCAGAACTGACAACAAAGAGGCGCAATAACAGTGCACCGAACTCCATTGACCTCCAAGAATCAGGCAAGAAAAAATTTAAAATTCCAGCCCTAATAAAGTCTCATGCAGCCGGATGGGCAATGCCTACATGAGACCAAGAAACTAAACCTAAACCTGCTCTGATACCAACTAGAAAACAGATATAGCAGTCCTTGGTTTAGTTCGAAACCTGTTCAAGAAGAAGAAGAAGAAGAAGAAAGAAGAGAATGAGAGGAAGAGAGAGCAGAATGAATCGGGTTCTGCCGCCCCCTCATTGCCTTTTATATTACTTGATAAAAAAAGGGGTACAAAAACAAAAATACCCCTGTTGACTGTGACAGAGAGAAAATACAAGTACAGCAGTTTGAAATAAAACAAATAAATGTGGGGAGCAAATTCCTGCAACTATCAACATATAAAAAACGACTAGATGTCCCTGTCTTCATCTCTACAATGAGAGAGGGGAGTATTACTTTAATCCTCAAAGACAAGACTTTGGCAATTATTTTGTAGGTATTGGTCACCAAACAAATGGGTCGGACTCGGGAATCCTTAGGTTGACTGGCCTCAGGTTTTTTGGGAATCAAAGTCAAGAAGGTTGCATTGACTCCACGGCTAACAATATGTGTATTGAGAATTCCTTCAATACTTCAAGCAGGTCATCTTTCAAAACTTCCCAACAATCCTGATAGAAAGCCATTGTGAAGCCCTCCAGACCCGATGCTTTGGATCTATTCATGGAAAACACCGCCTTTTTTATTTCCCCCTCCTCTAAGTCTCTTTCCAACCATCCTGCTGCCTCCTCTTCCACTAGGGGCCACTCTAGTTCTTCTAAACTCAATCTCTCCTCCAAAGGTCTTCTATAAAGGGATTTAAAATGATCCACAAAGGTTCTAGCTATTTCATCCTGATTAGATATCACCTCCCCATTAATTTTGAATCTAGCCACGAAGTTCTTATGCCTTCTACCATTGGCCATCGCATGGAAGAATTTTGTATTTCCATCCCCCTCTTTTATCCACTTATGTCTTGACTTTTATCTCCAACAAATTTCCTCTCTACTAAGAACTTCCTCCAAATCTTTCTTCAATTTCCAATATTGATTCCCTTTCTTCCTCATTAAGAGCTCTCTCATTCTCCAACTTGTCCAATTCCTCAATCTCAGATGTGAGACAGTGAGAGTAAGCTTCCTTTCTTCAAGTCCTCCAAAATGGTCCCTATTCCACTCCTTTATCTTTTCTCTCAACCTTTATAGCTTCTTATGGAATTTGATTCCCTCCCACCTTACCCCCCTTTGGTCCTCCTTCCACCACTACTCAATTCTGTGAACAAAATCTAGATATGTCAACCACATATTTTCAAATCTAAAGGGAGTGAGACCATTTAGAAAAAAATTCTGATCCTATTCTAATGGGATGGTGATCCAAAGTGACTCTGGGTAACGCTCTAGACACCAAATCTTCTCAATGGTTCTCCCAAACCACATTAAACAAAAATCTATCCAGCTTTGAATACAATGGATTTTCCTAAAAGTTGGACCAAGTAAATCTGGTATGCATGAGAGGGATCTCCTTTACCTCACGCCTGTCTATAAACTCATTAAATCTCCTCATACTGGTGGTTATTGACTGATAGGGGTTAGAAGTTTCATTAGAGAACCTTATGACATTGAAATCCCCTCCCAGACACCAAACACCCTCCCACAAACCCCATATTGCATACAGTTCCTCCCAAAGCTCATTTCTTTCCCCGTGCCTATTTGGTCCATAAATATTAGTTAATACCCAGGAAAACCCATCATCCACATTCTTAAACTTTATTGATACAATGTATCTGCCAATCAGCTCCTCCATTGGTTCCAACACCTCATCTTTCCAAAGAATCACCATACCCCCCGAAGCCCTCAGGAAGGAGCCTCATCCATCTTATGCCTCTTGATCTCCACAAACTTCTGATTAGCTTCCTATCCAGCTCTGCTAATTTAGTCTCTTGCAATATCACGATTTCATGATTCTCTCTTTTTATTAGATCTTTTGTTACCCTCCCTTTCCTTACATTCCCCATCCCTCTCACATTCCAATTGATAATTTTCATTCTTTCACCTTTATGTTAACCCCTCCTCTTCCTTCCCTACTTAGACCGTCTCCTTCGGTCTCCCCTCCCACTAAACTCAATATCATCCTCTACATCAGAAATTAGCCTTTCTACTTCTATCTTTTTCTTCTTCCTTTTTTTCTTTTCTCTTCACTCTTCCTAAAATACACTTTTGGCTTTTAATTCCCTTGAGATTTGTTATCCTTTAAAGATGAGTTGGCCTTCTTTTCCTTCTTTATCTTCTTTGTCATCTCCTTCCATACAAGGTTCTTGAGTTCCCACCTCAGTTATTTTTCCTTTAATTTGAGATCTTCAAAAAAGTTGCTTATTAAGCCCCATATCCTCTCAACTTCCTCTTCCACCCTTTTCCTTTCCTCTACATGCCTCCCTTCTAACATTCCAGTCCCACCTTCAACTTCCTTTCCCATTCCCTCGGGCTGGGTAGCTGGTGCATCTGTTTCAGGCAAAGCACACAAATCAGTAACCAAAACTGAATGGACACACATACCTGGAAGGCTGGAACCATGGGAGATGGAGCGGGAACTGAAGAAGTAGGGAAATCCAAGTCAGAGATCAAACCAGTAGGTCTGTTCCCTGAACTAGGCCTCTATACAATGGGGCTGGGAAAAACAACATCTTTGGTTGCATCACTGTCCTTTTCCGTTATGCCCTTCTCTATTGCCTTTGTGTTCACCTTCACAGTATCTTCCTATCTTACTTTCTCTATTCCCTGTTCTCGCTGATTGTTTGGGGGTAATTTCTTTTTTTTTAATAATCTCTTCCTTTCTTTCTTTTTATTTCCCTTCCCTTTCTTCTCTTTCTTTCCTTTATTTTCTTTTTTCTTTTTTTTTTGTCTTTTTGTATTGAGGTGTACATGAAACACATGAGGTGCATGCTTCAGAGGCATCAACACTTCTGACATATGCCTCAAGGCATTTTGGTGGTGCCTCACCTGAAGGCACACCTCCCATGCCTTTTAAAACATTGGTCCATAAAAATTGTTGGTTCATGTTCCTGGAACTTATCATTAAAAGAAGGCGGTCAGTGTGACATGGGGAATCTCAGAATTATATGAACTGTTCTATTAGGACTTAAGAGTAAGAGGAGCATGCTTATGAGGTTATTTCCCAAAATAAAAGGTGGCATATGAAATTGAGGTTAATGATGTAGGAAAGTGAAATGATTATATAGGAAAATAAGAATTTTATACATATTGCATGGGCAGTAAGCTGATTTCTAGACTAGCTATTAATTGCAAATTTACTTCATCAGTAGGTATCACCTTGCCATACAAAACCATGTCTTGCTGATTTTAAGGAATAAATTGAGAATTTGAAGAAAACCCAGCATTTGTTCACTTCATTGGTAGTCTGACTCCACCTACCATTTCAAAGGTGAGGCATTTCCAGTAATCATCCAGACCTTGCTATTGAATTTCAAGCTTAAGGAGAGACCATAAGGCCTAAGGGTTCAGTTCTACGCTACATAATCCATTTCTTCCCCTATGTTTATTAATATCCATTTATTGTCCTTTTCAATTCCCTATTTTGGTTTTTCTTGGATATTCTGTAAACATCATATTATTTCCTTTATTTTTTGATAGTTATCACATTGTTTCCTTACACTTTACAACCATTCTCCTTTGCAACAGAAGAGGTCACATTTAGTTATATCTTGGTCGCCAATCCTAAGTGTACCCTGATTTACACTCCTACATAGTTGTCAAGGCGACGCCGAGGTGACAAGGCACCCTTTGAGGCTCGCCTCGCCTAATCACCAAGCAGTTTTGTACTATGTATTATAAAATATTTTTTATTCTTTATTTTTTGACATTATAATTATAAAATAGGCACTATTAAACTAAAATATTCATTTTGTGTGTTTATATACTAATTTCTTTTTATTATTTTTATTATTTTTCTTATTTGTTAGGGTTTAATCAATATAAACATTGTTAAATGCTGTATTGAACCCCCAAAGACTTTAAAACCTGAACCAATAAGTAAGGAAGAACTTAAAATTTTGTCTAATCAAGGGTTTTAACTTTTTCTTTTCTTCTTTTCCTATCACAAAAATAAGGTTCAGCCCCTATATTTTTTGAATTTTCTTTTCCTTCTTTTTCTTCTCATGAATATGTTGATTTTCTATACTTTAACATGAAATCTATACTTTTCTTATGAAAATTATGAATAATTATTAAGGAAATATGGTTATGGTACCTGTGGAACTACCCAATGATCTATGTTTTCTACAGAAAAAAAAATTCATCGCCTAGGCGCCTTGAAAACTATGCACTCCTATTACTATTAAATGTACATTACATATATCCTATTTTAGTCCTACTTATTTTAAAAGTTAAAACCTCTTTTTTCTAATGTAGTTGTCAATAAACCTAATTTTGCACTTAATCATTTTAATGATTTAATCAATTAATATTTAATACTCTGCCATCAGCAGCCTCTTGAATATGTTTAGTCAATTCATCTATGACCACAAAAAAAAAAAAAGATGAAGATGAAAAATGAAAGAAAAAAAAAAGACACGGAACTAGTCGCCCCAAAATTGTTGCTGGGATATAAATATAGAGAAAACAGAAGTTCACCTTGATTGAAGAACATGATTGAAAAGTTAGAAACTTACATGTAAGGTCCTGCAATAGATTAAAAGATCCAAATGGTGTTATAATATAGTAAAAGGAAGAAAGAAATGACTAAAAGATATCTAATAATACAAAAAGAGCACAGGCCCATTTACCTGGGAGACCCTTTAGGGCATTAAAACAGAGGCAAGTGTCCTCAACTAGAACAGGCCCATTAACCTTGAAAGCATAGAAGAATCAGAAAGAAACTTAACTAGAAACTCAAATCAACAATAAGCAAATCGGTATTGATAAAAAGAAAACTAAAAGAACGACCTCCTTTGCAGCTAATCGGGCTTTTTCTTTGGAGATTTCTTCAGGCTCTCCTTGTAATTCAGGAACTGTAAACACATAACGAAGCAAATCACTTGGTAAAAGTGTGTATGCACAGACACAGATAGAGAAAGGGGAGAGAGTTACTGTCGAGCTTCAGAGAGTGGAAGGGAATGGATTGGCCCAAGATAGCCCGAACTTCTTCAAGCTTCTTTGCATTTCCTGTGACGAAAGTCACTGGACGCAATAATACCAAACCAGATGCAGCTGCTCTAATTCCAGCCATTCTCACCCTTCCAAACGAGAGAGAGAGAGAGAGAGACTCTTGGTTGTGGCTGTAGAAGTGAGACTGTGAGAGGAGCTTCGCTTGCTCTCTCCGTCAGTCTCTCCCAATGGAATCAAAAGGTTATAGCGCGTTGAGGAATACTACCTTTCATTGGTCAGTCGAAGAAAGTCGGTTCCATTGATAGTGGACTAGTGGTTAACAGAATCCGAAACCCGATCCAAGGTCCGGTCTTGAATTCAATTAAGCTTGAAATTCAACTGCAAGGTCTGAATGATTACTGGAAATGGCTCACCTTTGAAAAGGTAGGTGGAGTCAGATTACCAATTAAGTGAACAAATGCTGGGTTTTTTTCAAGTTCTCGATTTATTCCTTAAAATCAGCAAGACATGGTTTTGTATGTGTGTATTTTTAATACATTATGAGAACAATGAGGCTTGGTTTGATATAAAAAAACAAAAACAAAAACAAAAGTGGAGGGAAAGTTCTTTGGGAATTTCATAAATATGGTAAAAGAACTTAAATTTTCTATTAAATTAAACATATTCTAGGTAATTGATGATCTCATGTCATCATTTTGATTGTTGTATTTTTATAGAGTAATAAGACATGAAATCTTTCTTTTGGTCCCGTTTGCTTTTCGGTAAATTATATATCCGGGTAAATGCAGTTAGTTACTTGGGTAAGCTTTTCTTAGGAAACAGTTACTCGGGTAAGTGCATTTACCCATGTTCTTTTATTTTTCACGTAAATAAGGTAATGACCATTTTAGCCATAAAAATCCATTATTAAAAAGGGCACTTTTGTCCTATTCAAGTGTTAGCAACTTTCCCCCTAGGTGGAAAAGTTATTTACTCGGGTAAGTGATACCCAAGAAAATAAACTTTCCCTGATCCCCACATAAATTTGAAAAAAGAATATGGGATTCTTATAACCCCTCTCAAAATCTAAAAAAGAACACCCCCTTAAAATTAAGTTTGGACTAACCTAGCCCAAGTTGTAGCCCTTTACGAAATGGGTTTTGGCAAGTCACACATTATGTCTATTTCGATTGGTGAAGCTTGGTTTAAAAATAAAACGCAAGATAATGGTTTTATATTGGATTGCAAGTTCATCTCTCTCTCTCTCTCTCTGACATACACACGTTTAGTTGTGTGTGGTTGTGATATAACTTGTCTCACCCATTTAATGCTAAGAATGAGTGTGAATTACACCTAAATTATCCCAAATTTTCGCACCTACTTTTTAACTACCAACAATGAGAACTAGTGACAATATTATTGGATTATTTAAATCAGCATTCTATATATTTTTTTTCAATTCTTCTAAGTTTCGAATAGAAAACTATTTGCTTTTCATTGAAATACGAACCTTATCTAAATTTATAAGATTAACAATATTTTTTGGTGTAAGAAAATGTTTCATTTTATATTTGTACCCTTAAGCAAAAGGATTCTATCCTAAGTTGCGTAGTTCATTATTCCATTTAGTGTGTTTTGTAAGTCGCATGTTGTCATGTTTAAATGATTTACAATCATACTATTTACTTTAACCCTTTCCTTCTATTTGCAAGTTATAAATTTAAAGGGAGTTTGGTCCTCTTTATTTTCTTTTTTGTTGCACCAAATAGGCACTATCTTATAGGTGTTTTTGACTTGGTGTAAGAGCCAATTACTCTTACATGTTATCAAACATCCAATACTTGGTGTATACTGATTGGGTAGTGTAATAAATGAAGGAAAAATAAAAAATGTAAGAAAAAGAAACTTGAGGTCTTTTACATATACCATCCATTTAATGTGAGATCGTAGGCCATAAAAGGCAAAATTTCTTATAACATTGTTAAAATCTTGGGTTGATAAGCATGACAATGCAAGTTTAGTTTTTTATGTTAGGACTTAGATACGAGTTGGATTCCAAATGAGAAGCTTACTATTAATATGTTAAACGTGAGAGAGAGAGAGAGGATTTTGCTGAATCAATTGGGGGTGGTTACTGATTGATAAGTGAAATGTGAGAGAGGTTTTTAGGGGATTTTACCAATTAATATGTGAAATTTATGAGATAGATAGAGAGAGAGAGAGAGTTATAGGGGGTTTTTAACGATTCAATTAGGGCAAAATGCATTATGCTTGAAAGTTATGTGAAATATGAGATTTTTAGGATTGATGCTTGTTATTTTTTAGTCTTAGTAAAGAAAACTATGCATGTAAACTAAAATGCTTTTCCTTGCTTTGGACGTTTAATGCTTTAATTGGTTCATAATTGTAAAAAATAAGTAAAATTTAGCCAATAGTCAATGAGAATGAGAATTGTAGGGGTTTTTAACAATTCAATTAGGGTAGAATGCATCAATGTTTTCGAACCGTCATTGACCCAAATGGTTGGATCGTTTGGACCAGAAACCGTTCAGGCGATCGGTTCCGTTTTACTCGAAATCCGGCATTTGGTCAAAAACCGTTGAATTAGTCAATGAACCATTGACCCAGACGGTTTGACCGTTAAACCATTCGACCCGGAGAACGGTTTGCTATAAAGTTTTAAAAATTGAGAAATCTCATATATGAGAGAGATCTGAGATGTGTGAGACAGATTTGTGCGAGACGGTAAGAGAGAGTGAGATCTGAGACTTAGAAATCTTAGATCTGCCACCACCGCCGCTGCTGTAGTTCACCGTCGCCGTCATCGTCACCGCTGCAAGCCTGCAACCTACAAGTCTTCTTCTTCTTCTTCTAAACTCTTTCAATTCAGCTGACAATTTTCTCAAATCTCTCTCATTCAAAGTTTCAACTTTCAACCCTTATTTTCTCTTATATAGTATACATCTTACCATAATATTCCAATCTAATGGATAAGATGTTCAAACCGTTCGACTCAAATGGTCAAACCGCTAACCCAAAAACTGGTGGCCAGAACAATTCCGTTTCCAAATCAGTTTTTAAAACCTTGAAATGCATTATGCTTGAAAGTTATGTGAAATATGAGATTGTCAGGTTGATGCTTGTGATTTTTTAGTCTTAGTAAACAAAACTATCCATGTAAAGTAAAATGTTTTTCCTTGCTTTCGACGTTTAATGCTTTAATTGGTTCATAATTGTAAAAAATAAGTAAAACTTAGCCTTTAGTCAATGAGTTCACGTCCTCTCTTTTGTTTAATATAGAAAATTTTCTATACCAAACCAATAGCAATTTGCCACACAAGAGTATCCTTGACATTTCAAAATTAAAGTGATTTGTTAAATGGTGCGATGGTATGATGACAGATTTCTATTGCTCTAGTATAGAAAAGTACGGAGGGTATAGAGGAGGTGATTACCTAATCACTAAAGAAAGAGACAAATTGCAATAATGACCTAGACAAAGTGTGAGGTGTATTATTTGTAGTTAAGCCTACTACAATGATGCATTTGGAATTAGTAACTACACTTTTTTTTGTTGGCTTATGACTATAACAACCACTTGTGGGACGCATTTTTAAACATATAAGTGTGTGTTGGTTCATATGTCATGGAAACTTGAAAGGTTTTGTTTATGTCATGAGTCATCATCATTTCAATTTTGAATTTCCATGTTGGATTTAAAAAGAGAGACATATATTCCTGGACTCCTGCCCATGAGAATTTTGCCCACGCCTACCCACAATACATCACCCCCTGTGTATTGGAAACATCTCCCCCTTCATAATATTATGCAGAGGATGAGATGTTCTCTATATGTGGCTGCGATAAACGTGGGCAGAGTTCTCGTGGGCAGGAGGTCCGGGCTGACCTATTAGAGAAAAAAATAGGTGTTCATGAATGCATAGGTAGTTTTCCCTAATCAAAATTTCAAATCTTTCTTTGTAGGCATGTAGTAAAACAACTACTCTCTATTTGCTTGTCTATCTAGACAATCAAGTTGAATTGTGTTGGGATTGTTGGATTTTTTTATTATACAAGACCTTGATGATACTACCAGCAACGTTTTAAAAAGTGACCCGGAAATGGAACCATTCTGTCCACCGATTTCTGGGTCAACAGTCCGACCATCCGGTTCAAACAAACAGTCCGTTCTGACAAACAAATTAAAAAATAATAATTAAAAATAAAAACAATCATAAACATTTGAATGGATCGACGGTTTGACCGCCCAGGTCAACGTTTTGTTGACTTTTTCAATATTTTTTTACCAAAAACCGGTTTTAGGTAAAACAGAACCGGTTGCTTGGATGGTTCCCGGGCCGAATGGTCCGACCGTCCAAATCAACGGCAATTCGAAAACCTTGACTACCAATATAAAAGTGACTATACAACAAATGTAGAGGTACAGGCTAAGAATGCATCAATTTCAAAATGACTAGTGGTGTGCCTTGGTAGTGCTTTTTCCTTTGGTCATATTTATACATTTTCTTAACAAGTGTAGAGAGATGTATTTTTTGGTGTAGGGGATGTGCCCATAATGCAAGAAATCTATAGAATATGAGCATTAAGCAAGCAATTCATTAAATTCAATACATATACAAAGGAGATTAATCATTTAAAAGATGAGATTGATCGTTTGTAGGAATTACTAAAAGGTAATGGAATTGATCTTGATGCTCGTCTTGGGGAGAGGAATGTTGATGAAGAAGCAAATGTTGAAGGAAAAAAAGAGGTGGGCCCCTTCGATGATGACATGCTGAACTTATTAGTCATTAGTGTGGCACCTAGTTCATCCACAAATTCTTCTTCTAAAAGCACTATGGCATCGTGTGAGATTTTTTTTCACATTCATGTGGGCTGAACGTGTATAGGCGTGGTTGTGTATATGGAAAGAAGAAGCAGTACCAAAGCAGCTTTGTAGTGTCACCATTCTGCCCCTTGAAACAAGTGGGCAAGTTGCAAAAGAATTTGTTGTCACGGTCTGTGGTACCTATGACTACCCGACCCAAGGGGGGACAGATTGAGTATGGATTTGTCACCTAAATTTTTGGGAATTGGTAATTTAGGAAAACTCGGGATTTTTCAAGAAAAGTAATTTGTTTTCTCGGTAATTTACTTTTAACAATGAATTCATTCTCTCTATGTTCTTTCTTGCTTACACATTAATYTAGAAAGGCTCTTAAACTATTCTTGGACCGTTTTTGGGTGTGATATGTGGCCCAAGCATTGAA